GTTTTAGTAAATTATGTTTTAGATTATTATCTCTATTTATTTTAAGATTTCACAAATGAAGAAATGTTAACAATAATTTCTAGTTTTTGTATAAAGAAAGTTTTAAATTTTGTTTATAATTTTTTACTAGTCAAAAAATGGGAAAATAAATTTCAAATAATGTTTATCATTATGTAAGTTATTTTTTAAGGTAAGGAATTGTGAAATGCCTCATGTGACTGTAAATGACTCAGAATGAATAAGTTTTAACAGAGATATAATGGTTTTTGTATTTAATGTTTTTACTAACAAAAATCATATGTTTTTCACACATGACAACCTTTTTGAAAAGTACTGTACTATTAAAAAATTACATGATTTGCTATTTTTGTAATACTTTTACAAACAGTTATAATAGTATAGTCTTATATATATTCTCTCTTAACAAATAAGAATAAACTAAAGTATTATTTAATAGTGTAAAGTGTTTACTTTACTTACTACAGACTCTTTACAATATTACTTTATAATAGTTTAAATAAACTTACATTTTGTAACTGTTTTTTAAGCTATAAACTACTTATTTCTATTATATTTACACTTTAACTATTTTAGTACTAGAGTTATATATATAGTAAAATTATATAATAGCTAAAATACTCTATATTACTTAATTTTAAGCTCTTTTAACTATATAACACCTAATTTCATATTACTTTTATAAGTAAGTTTATAGTATATAGTTACAACTTTAGAAACTAATAATACATTGTTATAAACACATATAGTGTACTATATAATACTTCCTTCTATACTATATACTTTCTAACATATTTTAAATGTATTCTTTAACTAATCTAACATAAATACTATCTTTTCTCAATTAATTAAAAAAAGAGAATAAAAGTAACAACATAGTATTAAGGAAAGAGAATTAGGGAAATAGTAAAGGTAGGAGGAAAAGGAGTAATAAGAGTAATTGTGTTATTACATACTCTTAATCTTCAGTTTTTAATTATATAATTACTTTACAGTAATGTATAGTTTAAAAGTAAAACTAAATTATAGTATAAGTTTAACAAAAAGATTGTTAACAATATTAATATATATAATTGTATATTATCTTACTAAAAGTATTGTAATTAACTTACAAGTACAATTTATTACTTTTTTACCTATTATAATCAATTAGCTATTATTATAGATAACTTATAATATAATTTTAATAGCTTATAATAAGAGTTAAGTACTTTTATCTTACATATAATAGTGTAATAATAGTAGTAGTAAGCTTACTTACTTTAAAAATGCTTACAGTTTAGTAAAAAGCTTGTATATTCTTTAAATTTATATACAATTATTAGAATTGTATTAAAAGCTAAGTACAGCTGTTATTTTGAATTGTGACAGATATATAAATATATTATTACATTACTTTTACTATTATTGATTACATTTGTTGTGACTTTTTTGTAGTATATTAGTAGAAAGAGAACTGAGTTTGTTATAGTTGTTAGAATCAGTTGTAAATGCTAACAATGTAATACTTACAGTCAGTCAATTATAACAAGCTGTTTGAGCCTGTACACTGAAACCTTGAGTACAGCTTAATGATTTGACATACTCAGGTCTCCTCTTTCTTGCTTGCCTTCTCCTTGCTTGCCTTTCCACATGCAGGTACTGTCAGGCCTTTCTTGCCCTTCTTGCCCTTATCAGATTATGTGGGCTAATAGGGTCACTCCAGGTACATTCCCTTGTGCTCTTGCTTCTGAGTCTGATGATCTTCTGCATGCCACACAGATAACATTTTTTTCTTGTTTCCATTCCAAAATTGACATTAGGCAGGACATACAAATATTATCATTACAAAACACAACTGAATCGTCAGAGTCTCAAAGAATGTATGAGTATGTTTATGTCAATACGAATGCCTTGTCAAAAAAGGTACAAATACACAAGTAAAAGATCGTTTGAAAAGGAAAATATAAAAAAAAGGGAGCAAAGAATGCCCAATCAGATTCAGTATCGTTATCATCTCACCCACCCATACCCGCTTTTACTCATACCAACTTATCAAACCGTCCATCAGGTCTAAACATCGCCTCAAACTCCTCGACCGTCTGCCCAATCACACCAAACGCACCCTGCAGCGTCTTCCCCAAGAAATCTAATTCTTGGATCACACCCTTCATCGTCAACGCATACGCGAAGAATAAAAGCTGTTGCGAGCCCTTGACGTCGCGGTTTTTTACTATATCGAGTCTTCGTATTGCTTCCACCTTAAGTAGTTCCATGGGTGAATAAATAGTCAGTTACTTAGCAAGGCGATGCCTTCGACGCAAGAGAAGTAGATGTGGACTTATAGACTTACCAGTCGCTGACGAGACTTCTCAGCAGGAGGAAGGTAAGGCGGAAGTGGTGTTTTTAGCTTGAACGTAGATGCGAGAATGGAGAAGTATAAAATGACGTTTCCGACCATCTCGCGTCGTTCCCGGTTGACGGGTAGTACAAAGTCCTCTTTCACAGACTAGTGAAATTTCACATCAATGATTAATAAATATCGATCGGAAATATCTAGGGCGTAAACAGCTTACCGTAAACCTATCATGCGATGAGATTCAGTATCTCAGACACGACCGTACCGTACAGCAGACAGACTTACCACTCCTCTCTCGTAGTAACACAGCGCATACTATGCAGCCTGTCCAGGATCGTCTGGAGACTCGTCAAGATAGAGCGATACATCGCAATAGGGAATGGTCCCTTTAACCGCGGCTCATGCTGCGTGTTCTTCAGTAAATCTTGCAGCTCGATCAGCTTGATTTGCAAGTGAAGCTCCCTATAAAAGAATCAGCTCAGGGCAAAAATTGGCCCCGAGTAGAAAGCGATGACGTACATCGCCATGAAAGTCTGAATCGAGCTATTCAGCTTCTCACTAGCCGGTACGGACAACAACTGCGCTGTCTCAGTCGGACTTCCCTCCCCATTGTAAGGCGTCAAGTCCCGCTCGATAGCGTTCACGGCATTCCTCGCTTCATCATGAATATCCACATGCGGAGAGTGCAAGCGGACGAGAATCCCCGAATTGGCTGCGACGAGGTGAGTATATAGCCATCCGACGTTTAGGCAGAATCTTTACATCATTATGTGTTGAGGTGAGAATAAATACTTATATGTATGTCGATGATTGAGATTGAAAAGGCAAAACTTACGCGCTCAGTGCATTGCTAAGCTCTCTACGCGCTTCCGCTGGCCACCATAAACGGGACACAACAACAGCGTAGATCACCCCAGCGCCAACCGAAATACTCCGATAATACGCAATATCTACAACGGAAACGTCCCTCTGACGAATATTATAGCTAAATAATCACAAGTCAGTATCAGACGAAATAAACTAATCGAAGTCCATCCACACACCAATATAAACAAGTCAGGTTATAAGTAAGCAGGGTGAACCGTCCCGCACTCGCATATTGCGGTTTCGCGACAATATAATAAAAGCATGGGATAGCGTAGAAAAACCCAAAGATCGACAGCACAACGGGGTTTTCTGGGAAGAGCGAGAATACCGCAACGGCGGTAACAGCTCCATATCTATCATTAGTATGAATAAAAAAAGATATTTTATTTATTTATTTATTTATTAGTCCACGAACGGAATACCAAAAACCAAGAATTTTGAACGCACAAGGTTCCGAGCAACCGGTGCAAGCTGAGGAAATTCGTCTGTGAAAAAATTGAACGTGAGTCACTTTACCTCCAAATCAGCTCTTTTAATGGGAATAAGAGTACTCACCGCTCCAATAGTCGGCGATATAACAATAAAGAACTTCGCGAATACAAAATTAACACATAAGGACTAATCCATATTCATATTCATCGCGCAATATTAGGGGCTCACCGAAATCAACGCCCACTCCCCCCTATACTTCATAAAAACTGGTCTCGTTGAATCAAAAAACGCAGGCGCTCCCAAAAGCGCAGTAGCAATCCCAGCCTTAATCGCAAACTTAACATTCCCATCCTTCATCTTCTCGTTGAATCGCCATATCGACTGGCCCACGCGTTCCCAAAAACTTAATTGCTCACGACCAGGAGTTAGGACAGTGTTTGGTGCGTGAGGCCGGACTTTTGGGAAGATTGGTTGGCGGCGTTGGGAGTAGGGCATGAAGAAGGTGCCTATTTCATTGCACAAAATTCAGTTTAATATGACTCTCAAATGCATAGTTAGTTTTTCCTGAGACCCACTGAATCGCTTCGACAATGTCGGCCTCCTCTGGCTCTTCCTATTCATATTCGTAGTCGCCGGAAACCCAATCAACCCTTCCTTCATATTCTCAAAATAAAAGTACCGCATAAGTCGTTTCGCCCAATGCTGTTCCGTCGCAACCCGTTCAATCTCGTAAATCCGACACATGACTTCTGTAAGAGCTGTCAACTCTCTCGCGAATTCTTGTAGAGTGAAGATAAAGCTGTGTAAAGTATAAAGTAGTCAGTGCATTTTATTTTCAGTGAAAGTAAAGTTGTTTTGGGGGGTGGACACGCACAAATAAACGAGGAATACAGTTTCATCTGCACCCGAGCGCAACAGCAGCTCGTTTTCTGGCACTGGGTTGTCATGCTCAGCCGAACTCGACCCACTATTCGACGTAGGAATCGACTCCTCCGCTGATTTGAAAGACTCAGATACCATCAGATCACTTCGTCGGTATACACGCATAAGAGCCTGGTTAGATGTGCTCTGGAAGGTAAACAGTGCTCGTTGGATATCCTCCGTTAGCTGGAAGATCTTTTGGATGTCTCCTTCCCGCGCTTCTCGACGTTTGACGAAGGATTTGCGAAGACGGTGGAGAGTACTCGTACAAGATGCCTGTACAAAAATACATATCGATGAGATATTTAATTTGACTTATCATAGGTGTAATAGTTAATAGTGTACGTACAGAGAGTGCCTTGAGCGGAGGACCCATATCATCAATCAGTTCACCAAAGATATGCGCAGCAACCTGTAAATTAATCGCGTCTTTGTTATCTCCATGTTTCTGAGCAGCAGGTCCATCGAGCCCGTTCATCTGAAGAGCGTCAAGTGTATGCTTCCCAAGTATAACCTTCCCATCACGCGCGGCCTGAGCAAGTTCTGCCTGTAATCGCGTCCCACTCCTCAACCCATTCAAATGCTGCGCGAGTCGATTCATACACCCAACAGCATCCTCATAAGCCTCTGCAGCTTCAGAACCACCCAACAACCATTCCCCCCGCGACTCCGCTAAACTCTTCTTCAAGCTTGTAAAACTAGCTTGGTGGTCGCTCACTGCACGTTGTAGATGACTTTGCGAGGCAACTGGTTCCGAGTCTGAAATGAGGAAAGTCTGCATGAGGAGATCGAGGAGCGTGCCGAATGAATCGAGAGCTCGTGTAATGTTGTTTTGGAGTCCGGTTGATGCCTTTTGGGGCCAGAGGGTATAACATACGATGTTTGATGAGAGTGCACCGAAAAAGATAATTTTCGCGGTTTGTAGCAGAGTTTGCAAGTCACCTTCTTTTACGACACTAGGTAGGTAAAATTGGATCAGGACACGTTTTCTCGAACGGAGAACTTTTCGACCAAGCTCACACCATGAATAGAATGATTGTGGTCATGCTACAAGCTACAACGCACACGAATTAGTGGACAAGGGAGAGGAAGTCGGAAAGGCAGGAGCTCGTACCTGTATTGAATGTCGGTTTGGCCATCCACACTTTCATCCAAGAAACAGCGCCCATCCCGAAGGCAATCCAAAGGATCGCCGTTACATCTGCAACCCATTCCCAACCAGGCTGGACATCTATCGCCCAAAACATCGACATACTTGACATGCCGATGAACGCTGCCCAGACAAAGCCGTAAAGACAAAATAAGTCCGCTTCGAGCATCGCACCGACAGTTTTTGCAGGGTTGAAATATACGACACTAGAAATACAATTTAGAGGAAAGAAAACAGATACGACCAAGGCGCGTAGAACTTACACAGTTGCGGCCATGTGTCCAGATGGAAACGGAACCATGTCTCCTTCAGACGTTATACTGCCTGACAAACGCGACAATGGAGTGAAATATGTGAAGAGTGAGCCTAGAAAGTACGCCACGGCACATTTGATGATATTACGATGTACGACTGGGATGTCCGGGATGAGGCGTCGAATTAGCGAAGGCACCTCTGCCGTCGAGCTCTCAGATTCAGAATCCGACTCAGAATCCGACTCAGAGTCCAATGTATAGTTGCTCGGCATCATCCCCGGTCTTACCAATTCTGGCGGGAAGGTGTGTGCTCCTTGGACGGGAGACTGAACGATAGAGCCGCCTTCAAACACCGAATCCGGCCTGCTGTGTATCGCAGAAGCAGAGAGAGTGCTGTGGAAACCACTACGTTGAGACCTTCGCTTCTTGACTGTTCGGTTCGAGTCTGGTGTCCTGAGCTGACCGCTGTCCTCCATCAACTGCTCGAACACCGTCCACTCCCGCTCTCCACCCCGAACGCCGCCCCTGTCATGCTCGGGTCGACGATGATGTACACGGGATGATGGCAACTCTTGTTCTGTGACACTTCTGGGGCCTAGGACTGGTCTTGGAGGTGTTCGAATATGTTCTGTTACGTGATGATGTGATTGGGCAGTAGCAGATGCATCATAGTTGACTTCATTGACAGTTAGGGAGGAGGTCGAGCGGCGTGACGCATCGCCTGTCGGGCCCATGGTGGTCACGCCAAAATTCTGCTGAAATTATCGAGCCAGTAAGTAAGAGAGAAAGAGGCAACAGCGCTGCCGTGCAGCGAGTGCGCGGAGGTCGACCAATGGCAATGGCAGAAGCAAGCGGCCACTGGTCTTGTGCTCGATAGACGCGCAAGCAAGTTCAGACTCCGCCATCGCGAATCACCCCTAATTCACTTCATCCAATCATCTCTCGCCACTCTCTCAACTGACTAGGAATACGGTAACGTACTTTACGTTTACTGCACTCTTGGCAACATAATAATAACATCCGCTAATACTGAAATTTCATACCGACGATAATTTGGGATTCATTCAAAGAAACGTATCATTACTGCAATAGCATGTATTCCAAGGATTAACTCGCATCCACAAATTCCTCACTCACCTGCAGCCAAAAATCAACCTCCAAGGCTCCAACTGACCAACTCTCTCCCAAAACCATTTTTTCACGCATTCCTATTCCCGAATCACAACCAGGATCGATGTTTAAAAAAAAAGGGTTGTCACGACTCACAACGTCAACCAGTTCAGTCAAGTCATCAACGAACTTAACAAACTTCTTCTTCGACCAGTTCTTTGCACAGTGTAAAGCCGTGTATTGCCTGATTAGTGCTGCCTTGAGTGGTAGCAGCTGCTTAGTCGGGCAAACCTCAGGCAGCAGAAGGTCCATGAATAAGGAGCAAACCTAGGATAAAACTGTTGCACAGACAAGAACTAATTGGGAAATTAGAAATACAAAGCTGAGGCAAACCAGGTATATAAAGATGAAGGATCTAAAGGGATTCTCTTTATCATCTAATAATCTATATCAACCAACAAGTTGTCAAAGAAGAAAGCCAGTCAATCGAGTCAATTAAGTAAATTTAAACATGGATAGTAAAGATAAATCATCACCATCACCATCCAAAGACAAATCTCACTCACGTGGGTCTATGAAATTGTGTAGGGAACTATAGGGGATCTGGTACTGAAAAACAATTGCAGAGTCGTCCTCAAATCATCATGGACGTGGACAGGAGCTCCACGTCGTCTCGTACCCTGACTGCAAGATCACTTACACAGAACCATCGTCTCTAAGCAAGGAGGAAGAGGCAATGGGGAAGATTGTAAACAGGAGCAGTCAGAGATACCCTAGAGGAGGTGGTGATAAGAGTACTCAAAATAATGAAGAGGAATTGAAGAAGTTTGTAGAAATGATGGGGGGGAAATGGAACTTGAAGTGATCAAAATGGTGAAGAGTAATATAGTCCTTGCATACTACAGGATAATAGCACATTACACTATACAAGATTGATAGACTGGAATAAGAGTTCAGTTTCTTTGACCTGCCACCAGAGTCTAGAACTGAACTCCTTAACTGAGTTTGTGTTTTGCAAGCTTACTAATTGCTTAAGCCTGAGTGTTAAGAAGAATACAAATTAACTTATTAAGAGAGTATACATAGTATTAGTAGTCAATGAGCCAGATTGTAGCTTCAGGGTTTGCTTGTAGCTACCGAGAGACACGTTCCTTACACTTAGAATTGTATATCCACAGATTTCTAGCGCTTGCCTAGTGCAAACTTGTCGATACGTGGGGCATTCCATCCAGAACGAATAGAAAGTAATAAGAAAAAACTCCCGTAAGTTCGCGTCGGGTGCGTCGATACCATACATACATTGCTGATCATAGAACAACATACAAGATCGCGAAGTGGATATGCGAAGGAGCGCATGAACATTTTGATATGATATGACATGTAGGGTAGGGCACGAATGACTAGAGAGATAAACGTGATACTATCCACTCAGTCCCAACCACTCGACGTTGGGTTCGCATCAGCGCCCCATCCACTTGTACCTGCCGGTTCCGCGGCCCAGTCTCCTCCACCCGGCGCAGGCTCAGCCGACCAATCGAGGTTACCTTCAACAACAATCAGACAAGAATAAGGGAAAGCATAGATGCAAATTACATACCAGATTCCAGAACAGCAGGGTTAATAGCTCCAGCGGCGGGAGCAGCTGTATTATCCCACTCCGCATTCGCAGCTCCAGTCTCCTGCTCCCCAGCAGCATTCGCCTTATTCTGCACCTCCTCCTGTTGTTGTTTCTCAACTTCCTCAGGGTCACGATAGAAGAACATGTCAACCATCACATCCCACCCGTCTTTCGTACGCGGGACAGTTCCACGAAGTCACGCAAGACCTCCCGACACAGGAGCCACCAAACTAGACCAACGGCATGACGCGCCTTGTTATTCGTTCGGATCGCCACATCGATGAACAGCAAAGGCGCGTCTGTGTCGCAGAGAGCTATAACCGGGATGTTAACATTCACCGCTCCCCAAATTGCTTGAGCGTCAACGCGAGGGTCAGTCACAACAAGCGGCCTCGGCTCCTTAAATGACCTCGTAATATAATTCGTAAAGTTCCACGGTGTGAACCGTCCCGCAATAGCCTGGGGCCCATGGCGGTCACGCCAAGATGGTTTTTGAAATTATCGAGTAAAAGAGAGACAGAACAGCGCTGGCGTGCAGCGAGTATGTGGTAGTCGACCAATAATGAGCGGCTACTGGTCTTGTGCTGGACCAGGCGCGCAAGTTTGAGACTCCGCCACCGCAAATCATCCTAACTCCCAACTGACTGAACGTACTGTACCCTCTAACGCCACAATCACATATCCTACACTGATAATAATTCACGACTGAAAGCATCATCTCGTTACTTTCACAGCATATACTCAATAATCAATATTATACAGTACATGCACAGTTTCCAAGTTCACAGATAATGGCCTTCCAATAGCATTGATCATGCATGCTAGTACTTATTACATTTAGAAGCTGCCCTGGAAAGTGGTGCAAGAGAGGATTCAAACCACAAAGGAACAATGAACAAGTTTAGGGTGAAAGCTTTGTATGTATAGATAAGACCAATTGGGAAATTAGAAGTACAAAGCTGTAGCAAACCAGGTATAAGGTATGTAAGCTCAAGAGTCTAAAGGTGCTCTCTTTATCATCTAATCATCTATATCAATCAACAAGTGGACAAGAGAAAGAGAGATACTTAATCAAACATAAACATGTCTAAAGATAAATCATTACCACCTAAAGACAAAACACTCTCACATAGGTCTTTAGAGTTGTGTTAGAACAATAGGATCTGGTACTAAAAGTCAACTACAGAGTTGTTCTTAAAGGATTATGAACATACACAGGATTTTCATGTTGACTCACACTCAGACACTAGCACTACCCTCAACACTACTAATACCTTAAACCTATCTAGATCCAGTTGGAAAGAATCACCTTATCTACCCAAAACAGAAGCAATTTCAGAGGCAAATGAATTAGCATTGAATAAGTTGTCAGAATTACATAAGGATTGGAAGGATAAAACTGGTAAAAAATAAATAACATAGACTTTGTGTAGTATACTATACTGAATCCTTACATATAATGGGTGATAGAATAAAAGAGTTTAATTTCTTTAATTTGTTAAGAGTACCAAATTCATTACTGTGCTTGGCCTACTACCCACAAGCTTCTGTTCATATGATTTTTCCATTCATTACCAATAAGAATAGTAGAGCTAAGCAGTCTGTAAAATGCTTACACATACAAGTCTAGCTTTCTAAGTACAAATGGCCCAGATTTACTGTTTTGAAAGTGTGAGTTAAAATTTTGATATAATGGTAGCAAAACAAGACCAGCCTTCAAGTTGTACAGGAGCAACAGTCTAGTTTGTATAGCAGTCATAACTTTAACTGTATGAATATTTTTGTTGAGAGGAGGTTATGTGAGAGGCTTAGAGGGATCACACAAAGAGGGGGGATAGTAGACTCAGCTTGCTCTCCTTAGTGTCATTGTCTGTTGATTCAGTAGGTATATATAATATGTAGCTATGTCTCAGGTATGTCTGTTGCTTATATATGTCATTCCATATATGTTAACACTCCCCTTCAAACATATATTAGTTTAATAATATGTTTGTTTTGCAACTATTTGTTTATTTGATTTGTAGTTATTTTTATTTTTATTTTTAGGGGTAGTTATAGTGCTGCTACCACTCCCCTTCAAACATTTATAAGTTGGCCAGACCTATAAGATGTTTGATTTGCAGATCGTTCCAACATTTTTATTAGTATTGTATCTGCATTGTACATTGTGTCTGTATTATATTTACTTGTGTATTGCATATAATAATATTATTTGTATAATATAAATGTGTTGTTTGTATTGTATATTTTAGTCCACTGTGTGTTAACTTTGTGCTTTGTTAGATATTTATTAAGTTTTCGTTTGCTGTTGTGTCATTAGTTCTGTAGTTTGTTCATTGTTATATTATTAAGTTGTTGTTTGTTGTCTTGTAGACTGTTCAACATGATTGAAATTGTTTGGAGTTAATCTAAAGTTTGTGCATAGTTTACTGTTCAATGACAGTATTATTTTCACAATAAATCGTTTGAAATTGTTATTAATATCATATGTGCTTTAGAGACCTGCAGAATCTCATGAGTACTGTGTAAGATTGTAAATCATGTGTTTTATTTATTAAATTTGCTCAAGTATTACTAGTAATTTCTTTTTACTTTACTGTGAAACTAATGAATCATGCTAGTAAAATGTATATCTGGTGTTGCAATGATATCCTTCTTTAATCATTGTTGTCTGTGTTTGTCTACATTTGTATATGTGTTAAACATTCAGTAATAGCTGATTTATGTCTTTGGATTGAAGCTTTGTATTGATTGTATATTAGTAATATTAATAATACTATTTGTTTTTGTCAGATTGCTTCATTCTGAGATTGATGAGGTTTTATGCTAACATATATTTGTTGTATAGATATTATATCTGGCTGTAGGCAGCTTGCTATGTGTCTAGGTGCATCATATATGTATTATATTATGAATGTATTGTTTGTTTGTTTGCTTTACATTATTGTTTATATTTATATATTAATGTTGCATTCTGTAATGAATCGTTTCTGATGCATCCTGAGTAACTATACAATCTGTTGCATTATTTCTTCCATAGCTAATGTAATTATCCGTTGTAAATCATTAGTAACGTACATTCGTATTATTTGTTATTAACAGTGTTATTGTGAATTGTTATGATTATAATGTTATGAATATTTATTAGTATTATGGCTATTGTTCTTTGCTTTTTCTTTTGCAAAGAATAGTGCATTGTAACACAATCTGCATATAAGTGATATATCAGATTATGTTTACTATAATTGTCTCCTAGCATACTTTAGTTAATCTAGTAGTATGTGCAATTGTAGTATTTGTTCAACGTTTTATTTGTTAATTGATTTGCTAGGTAAAGCGTTTTATATATTGGTTTTATTTATTTTATTTGAATCATTGTATAGATATACTTATTAGTATCTATCCAATGTATTTTATAATGTTATAATGCTGTTCATGCTTGTATTAATTGTACAGTGAGGGCAAATTAATTGTTTGTATGAGAATCGATTTAATAGTTTTATTTGATTATATGTATGTGCTCCATAGTTGTTTGTATAGTTATTATCTTTGTATCTTTCGATTGTAGTTGTGAATTATATTGTAATTATATTTGTATTATTGTATGGATATATTATTTATTGTTTTATGTATGTTCCAAAGTATTATTTTTGTTATTCATCACTTTTATCCATAAACTATAGTCTGGATTGATGAATTATTTTGTTATATGATGTAATATTTGTTTGTATTTTATTTAGTTTTGTATTAAACGTTGTTAAGTTAATCAGATTATTATATTAATATTATTTGCCAAGTATGAGCATTTGTTTTGTAGTGGAATTATTATTTATTTAATGTTGAAGTTCAATCATGTGTTGTGTTGACTTCTATTATTTGTTCTGATTAACATTATTTTGTATTACATCAAATGATTTACCTTTGTGATCTGTTATATCTGTCTGTAACTTCTATTGCTTATTGTTTTTTTAGGATCAGTGATAAGATTGATGTTTCTGCATCATGAATATTCATTTGTTCATCTGTAGTTTTGTATTGTGAACGTTTGTGCATTTGCTACAAAGAATGCTTTAGGAATATGTGCCATTTCTAAGCTTTATTATTATTAATTTATTAATTATCTGTTTGAATAACTTTTATAAGCATTGAAAATGTTATGTAATGTATAACTTTTATATTCTTTAATAAAGTATTTTGTGTTTGACAGATTCGTCAGATTCATTATGGATTTCACTTAGTAATGTAGTTAATATGTCTGCATTAAGAATTTGATGTTCATCATTAGTATGTATATTATTCAATTACTCCCCTTCAATTTGAGAAGGTTATTCTTTGAGTAATTGACAAGTAGTGTAAGTACATAAGTACATTGTTGATTTTCTTTCATGTATTTGTAATCCAATGAGTAGTGTTAGTACTTTGTTATTTTACTTTCGTGTGTTTGTCAGTATGTGTTATAATATAACAGTATGTTTTAAGTTAACTTGTGATGTTTGACATACATCATTTTGTTTAAACATTATACTGTAACATTGTACTGTTTGTTGTATAAATTTTAATGTAATGTTTGTAATATGTCTGTAATATTTCAAACGTGCTAAGAAATCTTCTGTGTGTTTGTAGTTACAACATTGGTTGTGCATCTATTCATATCTCTGATAAGATGTAATAGATATGCTTGTGTCTGCTTTTCATTATATATTATACTGTCTGAGATAATGTGTTAAACGTTTTATTAATTTATTTAATCTTATTATATTATGATTGTTTTTGTTTGTAATCATTATAATAAGTGTGTCTGTTGTAGTTTTTCTGTTGTTTGTTGTACTAGTCATATTGGTATAGTACTTCACTTGTATATAAGCTTTGTAGCTTCAATATAAGTTTATTTATACTTTGTTAAAGTATATCTACATTCTGTACAATTAAATATGTTCTGTTACATTGTTGTAGTAATGGTAGAGGTATTATTCTACTGTTTGCCATTATTATACATTGTTATTATATGTTTACACTATCATAGGTGTAAAGTATCATTATTTGTTTATTGACTATAATTGTGTACTTGTTCCTGTACTATAGTTACTGTAATGTACTTTGTAACTTTATTATTATTATTATTATTGTTAATTTGTCTGTAGATAGTTGTATGCTTTCATAAGCTGTATTAGTGTGTAGATATCAAATGTCTTAGATATCAGATGGATATCTGCTAACTTGTTTTATCTCATATCTGACATGTCCAACATATCTGAGACATGTCTTACATTAATTGTTTAGCCATGATATTGTCATATATGTTATTATTTGATTTATGTTATAACATATGTGTGTTTGTTGACAGTGTCTATCATTTGTACTATTATAATATTAATAGTAGATGAGTAGTGTTTGCTTTCTCAATCCTTCTAACGTTTGTCTGTAGTATGATCAGTTATTTATAATAACAATGTTTCTGTTATATTACAGAATATTTTTAGTGATTAAATGTTGTAGTAAGTGATACTCATTGTAGTTTCAGTGTTGCCTGCATAGATTATGTTATTACTAGGCCAATGATCATAATCACTAAGATGACAATCATATAATGTCTGGGTTGTATGTAGTACAGTAGATTGTGTGTTTGTA